CTAGCCTCCATAATTATTTACAGACTGACTGGCGCTCGTAAAAGGCGGATTCGTGAGGAGCAAGCCGGGTTTCTTCGGGGTCGTGGCTGCATCGACCACATCTTCACCTTGCGTCAGTTGTTGGAGCACCGCCACACATATTGGCGGCCCACTGTTGTCGTGTTCCTCGACATCAAAGTGCCTTCGATCCGGTTGATCGATGTGTCCTTAGGAAATGCTTACTCAGGAAAGGTGTGCCCAAAAAATATGTAAATATTTTCCAAGCATTATATTTGCGTAGCACGGGCAGAGTGAGGGCTTACGGCAAGCTGTCGCCACCCTTTAATAGCTCCAGCGGTGTGAGACAAGGACGCCAGCTGTCACCTTTCCTCTTCAACTTCGCTATTGACAAACTCATGAAGATTGCATTTACAGGACATGACTTGGAAGGCGTGGAGCTACTCCCAGGAGAACGACTTCTTGACTTGGAGTATGCAGACGATATTGCCGTCATCTCTGACAGCTCCCAGACGTGCCAAGCTGCACTGGACAGATTAGCACTGGCTCTCAGCCGCTTCGGGCTTTGCTTTGCACCATCGAAGTGCAAAGCGTTCCTCCAAGATGGGTAGGGATCGCCTCCTGCGCTGACCCTTGGTGGGGATCAGCTAGAAGTCGTTCAGAAATTCAATTACCTGGGAAGTTGTATCAGCGCCCTTGGGATCGGAGACGAGATCACGAACCGCATAGCGAAAGCTCGGAGTGTTTTTGCTAACCTCCGCCACCTATGTCGGCGGCGCGACATCACTCTCTCCCTGAAGGGTAGAGTGTACAATGCAGCGGTACGTTCGACCTTACTGTACGGTTGCGAAACCTGGCCCCTTAGGTCGGCGGAGTTGAAGAGGCTAGGTTCGTTCGACCATCGGTGCCTTCGCAGTTTGGCTCACATTTGGTGGGAACACCGCGTGAGTAACGAGCGTGTTCGACGCATAGTTTACGGCCCAGGAAATGGATCGGAACCGCTCAGCACCGTTATTTCCCCCACCAGGCTCCGATGGCTCGGCCACGTGTTACGCATGCCAGCCCACCGACTCCCGCGACGTGCGTTGTTTGCTCACCGGGGATGTGGGTGGAAGAAGAGGAGAGGTGGCCAAGCGATGACTTGGTCCAGAGGAATGAAGTCCATCACTTTGGAGCTAGCCTCTGTTGGAGCTTCACGGCTCCCTGGTCGGGGTCCAAAAGACGGTGAACACGTTTGGCTGGATACATTTGCTGACATGGCAAGGAGCCGACCTCAGTGGCGTTGCTACTGTGATTTTCTTTGTCCCTCCCCATCCCTTCTAGCCTCCCCCTCCATCTACGATCTCATTTCGTAGGGTAAAACATGATTAAAAAATTTTTTCTTCTTTTTGCCTAGTAGCTGGCTGGAAGCTTACCGGAACGATGCTTATCCGTTGCTGGTAGCTCAGCTGGCATTCATCTGTTTTGTCCTTTTTTCCTTTGTGTGTTGTGTTTTATGTATGTATGTATGCATGTATTTCTTTCATGTATTGCGGCACAATAGCGGAGGTGTTTTCTTACCTCTAGCTGATGTGTATAATGATGAGGATATCAACATTACTTTCAGCAGGACATGATTACGGTACGTCAGTGATCAATCCGATATTTACTTCATAACAACATAAGACATGTAAAGTAATTTTAATTCGGCACCTGAGCACCTTCACATATAGGTTAGGGACGAAAGGACTGCAGCGAGCTTCCGTCTAATGAGACCTAAGCGTGACTGGAGTAACTCTGTAAAGCCTATAAACTGGTTACAATGCGTCCTTTGTTGAGCCGGGCGTTCCGATAGATAAATTTATCTTCCAATAGACCTTGGTGCTGAAATTTGTCTTCATGCCGAATACGCAGCCCAAAGCAATCACCCATGGCTAAAAACACGACCTCCGTGCGCTGAAACAATCTCAAATTCTGGAATCCAAGTAGATACTTGAATTTTGCAAGCTCGCATAACAGCAGACGCTAAAACATTTGGGCACACTCCGAAGAAGGTATCGCCGATTACGAGGTGACCTTATATACCTTAAATGATATTGCAAGGTCCAACAAATGGGTGATATTATTTACGGCAACTGAGGAATAACATAAAATCCAGAGACCACAACATGATAACGACAGAAATGAACAGCTGCCCCTAGTGCTACAGACATTTCTTTTGCATTGACACATGTTACTCATGAAGTGCTCTACCCGGGTAAATCATTTCTGCAACGACGTGTTTTGGATGATGCACTCAGCGACTTAAAATTTTTACTTAACCACTTTGCCTGTTCTGCCCCTGGAAATACTTCGACTTATTATTTTCAAAAGTAGGGGATGTGAAAGTATGCGGAGTGCATGATAAGTTCTTTAAAGTTTACAAATCGTTCTTTTGGTAATAAAACTACTGAGTTTTCTTTTTCCTTAACGATTTTATTAACGTCGCCGGATTACCCAAATAAGCTCATAAAGAAATGCTTGGCTTCTGGCACAAATTAATAAGTCGTAGTTCATTGTACAAATTATTAAGGAAGATCTAATTCATGGGCTAAATTTATCGAATTCTTTCTAAAATATTCTGATATATAACTTTAATTTATATGGTAAAATATGGTGGTTTCAGTAAAACAGCGTATTATCTATTCTTAAACGCAAAAATCACTGTACTAATGCGAGCAAGAAACCTCAATAAACAAGGGATATGAGATACAAACCAACACCAACCTTATTAACGTCAAGTAGTATTCATTAGCCCGGTGCAGAAGCACACACCGATTATGCTATCCAACTTATCTCATAACTTATATGGAATGCGTTAATTTATTATTTCATAATGGTAATTCCTTGTCAGGTGGAGTGAAGCTGGCAAAAATAAACTAAGTTATTGAAGGTTATTTACGTTTCCATTTATAGGAATTCTAAGCTGCACTCCATACATCGTCCATTCGTATTGACCCTAAAGCGCATCCAAGTTTACACCACTAACAGACACCTTCAGGTAAATAAAGTGCATTTACTAATCTGTATGAAGATATTGAATCGGTCGACATACTAAATATTAAGTTTTTATACTATTGGTTTCCGTCATCTCGTATTCTTTCCGGTGCACGTTGGATGGGCAGCTAATTTTTACCGCAATTCCCAGAGCGACCTTCACATTTCTATGTTGAGCAAAAAATTCATTGACAAAGAAGGCAAACTAAAACGCTGTCTTAGTGCGTCGTATGCGCCCTCCAGCTGTCACAGTAAGCCTAATTCGCTAACACAATTAGGGGCTGTCTGAAATATGTCATGAAACCTTAGACAATTATGCAAAAGTTGGTGTCCATCCTAAATACTATTTGCCCGACGCACTTGTATGCATTTTGGAAAGAAGTTAATTGGCTCCAAAATTCCGCCCGTCGGGATTTAATGAAACGGTAGCACAAAGAGAAACTGCTTCCGCAAATCCCATTGAGCAGCTACCTTTACGAAGCTGAGTAAAATGAAAATAACATAGTAATGAATGAAGTAAAGATGTATGAAATGTTCTGAATTGTTTCCTTTATTGGTCCAGTATTGCATTCAATGGCCTGAGTTGGTGAGTGATTTATCCTCACCAGAAACTGCTGCGCTCCAAACACAGCTGTCTGACCTAAGCTTGAAGTCAGTTATGTCTACCGAAGTAGGGAAACAACACACGCTTGTCACTTGTGTCCCAGGTGATTAGGTCTCAACAAGGGTCACGATAGGGCGACAGCTTTTCAAAATAACATTCTTTGCATAGCTAGGGCTGCGTTAGCGCGATGGCAATCGATTCGGCTGCCATTAGGAAACTTTTTTTTCAAATTCTTTACGTGTTTCCCTGAACATTTTTGAAGATACTAGATATTTCATTTACCAAACTTTTGTGTCACATTTAAACCGTATGTTTTAGGATGAACTCCTCTGGGACTCTGATTATTGTCATTTGTTCATGCCTGAAAAGTCTAGTCGTATATTCGGGTAATTAGCACGGCAAGTGCAATAAAATTTATGTGTCATCTAGGAAACAGACTTGAATGGTAGTCTGTCTGAGAAGATTGGAATAACAAACGGAGTGGGTTAGATATGGTTAATGAGGTTGAAATTTTCCTGTTCATGTGTTTGAAAATGATATCGCTTTTATTAGGTACTTAGAGCAACACGTCCTATTTTTTCACCGTGTTTACGAGCCTAATGTGCTCACGGAACCTGGTGTGCTCTGTGATGAATGAAGCATGGTAACAATTCAGAACCTGCGATATAATTATTCTCTAATTTCAGTCTTCTATTTTCTCCTGGCTAAAAATCTTGTCGTGATGTTGCTTGAAGCGAAATTACTTTCGTTGGTACCTTAAAGAGATGGAACCCAATATGTGCATGCATTGCCCACCCACGAGGCTCTCAGGTATTCAGGAATGGAATTGTCTGGTACGAGCTATCACGACCAAGCTACACCCAACTCTGCCCTGATAATGTCACTACGATCGGTGGCGAAACGTTTGCAACCAAACTGCCAAGCTAAGCGAACATATTTGCAACTAAATATTGCACCTTTCGAATAAAAGAGAAGCTGCTGCTACTCAAACCATTGACTTCGCTTGAAGTAACTATATAACAATTGCATACTACGCCCGTGATGCTTGCAAACAAAAGTTATACTTACCTCAAACGTTTGAGTAGTTCCTTAAAAGTTATATGTGCAACGACTGGTTGCGATTCGTATGTCTACTTCGTTAGCATATATCATAGCATAGCATATTGTGCCAAATACATAGGGCAGAACAACTTTATTATCATAACTCATTGCACGCAGCATCATAGTTCCTAGTCTTCTAGTGTAAAATTTAAGACAAATTAAGAAATGTTATACACAGCAGGCATGTGTCCAGTGATTGGTGAAAAAGAAACGTAACCGACTTCCTAAACAAACAACATATTTTGGTGATACAATTTCTATTTTATGAGCACTTTCAACTCACCTACGTAGACGATGCTCTGAGTTAATTTCCTCGTGCGAAACTCCAAGCTTATCTGTTCATTCTTGCCTTCAGAGGATATTGAGAAAACGACTCCTTTCCTGCCGTCAAACTGGATGACTGCTGACGTATTCCCTGTAAAAAGAAACGCACATAGCATCAACGGTCTTTGGGTTGCGAATAAAACTGGCAGTGCAATACGCACCGTTAAAATTTTTAGTTGATTTAAATAAAATTACCAAATCCGTTTGTTAACTGCTAAATCCTAAGCAACTCAAGGAGCTCCGCGTTGTAATTAGGCCAACAATTATTAAGGTCTGAATACTGACAACAATGTAACGGTCATTTACAAGCTGCTTGGGATATGCGATGGAGTTTGCTGTACCTTTCCAGAGTTTTATTAGAATTCATGAAGCGTTGCTTTTATTCTATACACAGCTATCAATAGGAATTGCTTAGTTGCTCTGCTTTTGCTATGAACATTCAGACAGAACGTTTTACCGTTTATTGAGCCTACCGAAAACCCGTATAATTAACACTTATGGTGCCTCAGCAGCACGAAAGAATAAGCTGGCACAGTGGAAACAATTTACAAGGGTCAAAAATCCGTTGCATACATCTCTTGTTCTCTAAGAAACCTAGCTTATATTACGTCATCAAGTAGGCTGTCGTGTGTATAATTTGCATTCTTTCTAAAGTTATTCCGTTGCTATTATTAAGTTGACAGTATTTGATTGCTAAACTCGGCCGTAGCTTTGAATCCAATAAATGATATTTAATCGCAGGGGTGAAATGCAATATTCTCTCAAATCATTTATGATGAAGGTACTGTGAAAATTTCCCGCTCTGTTCATTCATATCCATTTTCAATCCCATACAGCACCAAACAATATTACTGGCCGATTGTCATTTTAAATTGACTACCGAAGTGTTTACCATAGTTTCTGCTAAAGCAACTGTTCAATCTACAATTTAGCTCGCTCTAAGTTGTAGAGAAGGCTTTTTGCTGTTTGGTCAGCAGACAACGATTCCGGTACGGCTTGTCGAATGGTAAAACGTGTGTCTTCTCCGTGTATGACAAAGATGTAGTAATGGCACCAGTTTGTGACAAATGCAATTTCCAGCTCATCAGTTTGTTAAGGGCTTACGTGCAACTTAGGCACCGTAGAAACAAACTCCTCAACTGATTAAGGATACGATTTTGGTGTATCATGTTTAAATCTTAGATTACAGTACTAAACTTGAAGAATAAGTGGAAACGTCAAAATGTGGCAGTTAAGTTTAAGCAGCAATTTATAGGTCAACAGTTATTTTCGGTGTTTGGTAAATTTAACTGATATACATATTTTAAAAATTAATTCAGCTAATTGTGTGTCACTAGAATGTTGCCGTAGTTGGCCGAAATGATTATTATTCATTATAATTGAGTCGGCCACGGTAAACTAATGAGTTTCCTGTACGTATGAAAAGAATTTCTCTGATGAAACGAATGCTGTTGGTTTTCTTTATCCCTTCATTCAATGAACACTTATAACTAAACCTTTTGATCTCGTAAAAGCATTTTGTTTGAGAACTCATTATCCATATTTTATTGTGTGCTAACCAAAGTAAAATATCTGGCCTTATCGCATGTATTGTGATGAAAAAATAATTTGTACAGAAAGAAACGATGGGACCAAGCATGTAGAATTATTTTAAAACTGGTAACAAATTAAAAACCTTAAGAGACAAGAGACGAACTGACAGGGTTTTTTGCTGCAGGTAAATATCATCGGCCTATGAGTCGTTTACTGCTATATTTTAGCCTATCTTGCGCAGCCATATTTGTACCTGCTTTTCTTCACCACTTAAATTCATGCGCTCATCTATGTACTGATTGAACATTGCAACTTGTTGGATTTTTTCTTCCACCCATCAATTGAACATTTCATATAGTTGGATTAGAAAGCCACATGCCATGCATATAGATCACATCCTGCAGATTATTTTAAAACGTGCAATTTTGTTTGAAATTTTAGGTCTAGACCTACTACTTACTTCTTTATCTGGTAACTATTACTCATGCTTCTACATAAGACAATAAGATAGTGTTTGTGCAACTTGACATTATTTTGAAAAATATACAAGCTTATGGGAATAACATATCAGTCTGAGCACTTACTTGTTAATGCATTAAGATGCGGGTTTATAAGTCGGTATGCTCGTCTTCTGTTGTTGTCGTCACAACCAGTGATTACATTTGCCAAATCCCAAGGACATGTTAGGAATATGATCAACAAGACTTTGTACAATCCTCGGTAAACGCCAGAGAAACTACTCCGCATGAGTTAGTGGGCAGCCATATCGTGGTCAAGTACTCGTTGTTGTCCTTCTTTGGGACACACGGCTGCATTCCAGCTCGTGTAGTTTACGCGCTACCTAGGTCAGTGACATGAGACGAACGATTGATCAGGAATCTTGACTACGATGGTTGTAGCATCAGTGAAAGCGAATAGACAATTTGGATTGGTGTATCAACATGCGGCCGCATAGACAGGCTGACAGACGACCGTTACTCTTGAGTGCGCAAAATATTGGTGCTCCCATTGGCCTATTGGCATAATACGCATAATGTTAGCCGTGTGGAGGAATCTGCAAGAGCTATACTTTGATTAATAGCTAAACGAATGTTTGAGTTAATTTGGGCTTCCACCTAGGGATTAAAATGAATGGATATTGGCCATAAAGAGAAATAGTTTCGTTTCATGAATTCCGGGTTGTTTCATTAAAAACAGAAAAAACTTTTTTGTACAAAATGTTGAAGTGTATTAGAAACTTTTTGAACTGTGTTCGACAAGATTGTTGTCTCCATGCTGGCGCACACTTACGTGATAGGAATATAATGGACTAATTTGACTAGTTTATCGCTTTTGGAGTCAAGATATGTATTATTACGGACGTGAGCAAATCTACGGCTCTTTCTAACTTAATAAAACCGGATTCCGCCTTCTAGTTATATTATAATCACTTGGCTAAATCTTGTGCACTCACTCACTCCAAATAAACTAACAAAAGGGCCGGAATTCCGCGCTTATGTACATGCGATTTCAGTTGTATTTACGTTGCATATGAAATTACTGATATTGTTTCGCGCAATTTGGTTGTGTGTTAAGAAATATTTCAGTTTTTCCTTTGACGTGTAGTTAAAGCTTAGTTTGTTTATACGTTGCTAAACCGCTCGTCAGCATCGGTCATGCACTACATTCCTATTGTCTGCAGGTGGCAGTTGGACCGAGATAGCCGACAGCGGGATCGGCATTGATGTCATCTAGCTAGACTTTTCCAAAGCATTCGACCGTATTGACCACCGCACCTTTATCAAAAACTTGCAGACACATGGGTTTGGAAACCGTGTTTTTGGATAAATGGAACATTCCCTCTTTCAGCGGCGCCTTTATGTTCGAAAACGGGGTTCATTTCCTTATCCAAATTGTGTAGAATGCGGTGTTCCCCAAGGGTAGGTGTTGGGGCCGCGAGAATTCTTGTTCTTCCTTAATGAACATGCGAGTATCATCAAGTCAAAGTCCCTGATTTTTGCCGATGACATCAATGTATGGCTGGCAATCGACTGTCAGGAATTCCGTTATATGTTGCAACGAAACGTAGATTGCGCATATGATTGGTCAAGAGTAGATCTACGTCCGTTTAACCAGGACAAGCGCAAACCGTGTGTGTTCGTCACAAGTCCACGCAAGCATATAAGCTTGGATACGACATTCTGAAAATCGACTGACAAGAGCGAGACTTTGAAATGATGATCCAAGAAGACCTCGGCTGTTCGGTGCAGTCCTTGAAGGCGTCTTTAAGCGTGGACATATGTGATAGTCTGTTACGGAGTGCGTTCGGGTGGTTCGACCCCTCCATCATCCTCCGAATATTTAATGCGCATGTGAGGTCCAATGCAGATTACGCGATCCAAGCTTGACAACCCCAGACAAAACACACTGTTTGCACTGGAGACCTCAAAGCGACCAACAAGAAAAATGTGAAGGAATTGTCTCACCTGTAATACCATAGGCGACTGAAATTCCTGGGAGTTGAAAGCGAAAGATATCGACGTCTACAGTGTGACCTCATTCGGGGGCACCAGGTTTTGAACAACCCCGGTCACGCTTGCGCCACCACTTGAAGCTTTTATACAACACAGAAATGAGGGGTCATACATTGAATCTTGCCACTTAATGCATCGGCTTGAGTGCCGCCGACATTATCTTTTCCTTCGACTTTGTCAACCGTAGAACCATCCTTTGAATTCGGTCATTTCCGTGCCCACCCAACGCATTTTTGAAAGACTATTCCACTATGCTTTACACCATTTGCAATAATTGATTTGATTTATATTCACTGAGTGATGACAAGACGCAGATAAAAATTGTGCTCATCAACCCTACGAAATCGAAGTAGATGGATTTCGTGGTGATTCTACAGCTTTGTGTTACATTTTTGTAACTTAATTGAACTAACCTTATTCCTACAAACGATCCCACGGGATTTGTAAAGTTTTGGGTTTTTCATATTCGTATTATACCTTTATTCCATTGTTTCATTGTCGTTCATCAACGCATCTGCTAATTTCCAGAATTTAGATGTTTACTTTACGCGGTTATTGACAAATAATGTTCAAAAGCATATAAAGTTGAATGCATAGAAATTTGCATTTTTCGGAAAGTATTTCTTTTTGGAGAGCATCATAGAATTGTTTTATCACACAAAGATTCTGTGTTGGGATTCCTTTACATGATAAGTCATCTGATTTATCTCGTATCTGTTTACTGTAAACAGCATAATCTGTTGGGTACCTACAAGATCTGTAGCAGTGAAACAAGGACTTCCTTTAAACGAGTCTAAAGCATTTCGATTTCTGGTTTAATACTTCTTTCGGAAAGTGGCAATTTATGTATCGGGTCTAAAAATTAAGACAAAGTTAGACTAAATAATTATGAAGCCGACTCTGTGACTCGCTACTTGTATCCACTTTTTGGGGCAGCCAGGTACGCAAAGCGCACATTCAGTCGTCAGCAAACGCAAATGCCATTGGCATCATATTTTTGGGGACAATGTGTTGGGATTTAGTGATCATCAAATTGTTGACGTTATGTTTTAATCAGACTTCTTTTATTTACTGGACATGCCATAAAGGTTGACATAAACAGGAAGACATTTGCTTGCCATGATGCAATATGTTAAGGGCTGAACCAAGTATGCACCAGCTTTTCAACTGAATTTATGTGGAATCATTTTGCTACATTTAAAAAGACGCTTGTGAATGCAATTCCTTTAAACGGATACTGAATGAAGTAGATTGCTTGAACTTATATTTGACCAAAGTCGATTTTGTTTGAAAATAGGTCCTTAACAATAAAAAACTAAACGGCTTAGGTTAATTCTTTGTAGTGGTAATGACAAAACATCCTTATAAATCAAAAGCATTGCATCTAAGTAGTGATAACTACCAAATATATGATTGCAAATATAAAGCTTTCATTTGGTCACACAAACACGCATAATTAACCATAAAGAACACAAGTTATTACGCTTTTCATACTTGCTAGTAAAATCGATCAAGTAGATAAATAATGGATAGCCGGACAGGATTATCTCAAGGAACTTTCAAGAGAAGCCTAAACAAGTACTAATGTTGGCAGTGACAAAAAATGAGCACATCATATGTCTACCTTTCAGAGTGCAGGTGCTACTAAGCGTTTAAAGAGAAGTCCTTCAGCTGCAATTAAGACGACTTCCACAGCAGACTTGTTAAACTGGGCGTTTGCGTCCGAGCCACCAGAGCGTTTACGAAATAAGAACCAGTCGCCAATGCTGACTGCCTCGATGTTTATTAACTGTTCGAGTGCACCAGTGGTGCAACGTATAGCGGTCAAATAAATCTAAAACCTTTTGGAATACTGCAGTATCATTTGTGACAGCATGAGGAAATCTGGCAGGGTATCTCTGGAACGCATACAAAGTTGATTTACAAAACGTCCGCTGAGCAAAACGTCTACTACTCGATGATAAATAAACCTATTGTTATTAATAATAATAATATTATTGTTATTTTTATTATTCTAAAACATGCCACTCTAATAGTGTACAAGGTTTGTCCGCACCGATCAAATGCTCGATAACTCCGTACACTTATCACGGTCGATTAAATTTTCATTCGATGTTTTACCCCTCATTATACTTGCAAAAGTAATTAATCAATGCAGTTTAGCTTCTCTGGCCAGCGATCACAGAAGACGCAGAGGTCAACTGCCTCAGGCGAAACTCCGTAACAAGCAGTTAACCCGATAGCGCACAGTTCAGTTTTATCGTTGTTATCTTAACAAACTTTATCGATATTATTTGTTTCTTATTCCATCCTATCTCCGATTATAATGGTCTGAAGTTGATGCGTTGAAAGAAATTGCTCACAGCGTGGTCTTATTGTTCTTCAAGTGCTAAGATCCTTATAATGCTCCTCTGAATGACAGCAATGAGTTCAGGAGATGATAGAACTTTTACTGTGTAGAGATATAAATTTTATATCTTGCAAATAATTAAATCCTCTCGTTACTGAACTGCACGTGTATACGTGAGACTGCATCAGCAAAACAAAATGTACAACCTGACCATGAGTGCGTGATAAGTCATATCTAAAATTACACTATAAAATAGCTAGGTAGCACGAAGTCGTCTTCGTATCACAAGTTGGTCGGTGTTTTCCCGAGATTATTTATCAGCTGCTATATTTGTGCATATCTAGTAAGATATGAAGTCGACAAAGAAACGTTTTAACAGTGGTAATTGTCAGCTAATAAGTGTTTTATTCGTAGAATACCTCATAAAGCTGTACTTAGGGAAGTTCACGGCGTTTTTCGTTAAATTTTATCTCCTGGGCATGTGTAGCAATGATGCACGCATCTGATGTCTGAGATGTCGCTCGGTCTTGTCTAATAGTAAATGCTTTACTTCGCTAGTGTTTTTAAAGCTAGGCAGTAGAAAATCTACGTGCTCCTAACTGTTCATGACACGAAATTTGTTGTGTACACATTTGCTAAGATACTGTCAAATTCCATCAAATCCTTAAAGAATGGTTTATCAGTGCTTAGCAACGGGATGAATTAGTGTGTGTGCGGTTTTCGGGCACATCTAATGAAACAAGTAAACCTATCACTAAATCATGCGACCCTATTATTACGGAGCATTCAATAATAAAAATGATTTGAGTGAAGCATTATACAGGCTGGATATTCCTGAATACTTACCATTTGTTAAAAGTCATTTAGTTCTTAAATGATACGGC